TGCACATAAACATTTCTGGTTTTAAATTATTTGTGCAGAATAATTTTGCTAAACCACATACTAATAATGAAAACATACAGGGGAAAAAAAAAGTTCTTACCCTCTCCCCCCCCTTTTTTTTTTTTTAGGAATTATGACTAAAATTATTAAATTTAAAATAAAATAATAAAAATTATGCTATTTTGGAAACACAAACTATTATTATGAATAATAACCAGACTACTTGTCTTGCAGTAAATAAAAAAAGAACTTTAAAGAACTTAAATTCTATGTTGCTATCTTTTGCTAAATCCATCACTGGGAGTCTACACTTGTTTCTCTTACGCAATTAAAAGCTTCCAAAGAAGTCACCAAATATTACACAAGGGACAAAGGACACAGCCTTTCCTGACTAATTAAAAATTCACAATGGGTGTCCCAGACATTACCAAAGTTTGCTGTCATTTTGCACTTGAGACATTACAGTTGTCTACCATGCAAATTTTGTATTTATTAATCACTTCAGCCATCCTTTCCCATTCTCAATTTTGAAAATGCCTGAGCTCATTTTATAGTATCTTAGCTGAATCCCGTGCTCAGTGTGAGATTGGTGTCTGGTACTCACAGGCAGTGATTCAGACTTCACAGATTAGAATTTTCTCTGCTTAATACCTTAGATGATAGTTGTTATTAAAAAAATAAAATCAAAGTATACAGAAACAAACTGCCTTACCTTCACCAGTTCCGTATAACCAGTTTCTCTTGCTGTCCACCAAGGTTGAGCTTTCAGTCCCTTGACATTGTAGAGGGAGCGCTGCCAAACTGATGCAAAGTGACCTCTTTGGTATCCAAGTTCATACCATTTGTATGCCTAAAAGATTGCAATTGTTAACAACCAAATTCACATCAGCCAAGCTTCCACAGAAAAAAAGTAACTTATGTTTTTTTGGTAAGATGACAGACTGTCTCTTTGGATGCCAGGGTTATTATTCTAATGTAATGTAGTAACGAACACTTCAAGGAAAAGAAAAAAAAAAAAACAAACCAACCCAAAAAACCCCAACTAACAATCTCAAAAGAGATCAGTCAGCCAAGGCTGTCCAATCCAACATTAGCAAAATAGGATAATCTTCTCACAACCATTCACGCCAAATATGGGTCAGTAATCTAGGCGCTGTCCTCGGACTTGGGAGATCCAATTGTTTGTCATCTTGGTCAACCTTGTTTCCTCTATGTTTCAACTCTCTACCTATGAATTAAAGATGACTGCCTTCTGCTGCTAATGGAGATGCTGTGATGATGAAAATAGTGCTGACTTTATGGATCTAAACTGTTACATAATTATCTAATACATATATACACTTGAGTTTCTTCAAATATTTTTTGCCACACCAGAATTGAGCTGATGCTACTAATTTTTCTTGTCCCTTCCCTTTCTTTCACATGGTAGAAACCTACTGAGGCTACCAGACCTTTCCACAACTTGCTTTACCACTACATAGCACCAAAACAAGGTCCTGCAGAGGAAGAAAATGGGATGCTTCGAAAGAAAAGATCCAGCATAAGTAGCACTGTGACGAACCATATACAGAGAAGGCTACATATAGCTGCCTCCTTCCTGTCCAGCATTGCCGCTACAGCTGCAATATTTTAGACAACACGAAAAAAACCCCGGATATGACAGGACAGCTAAGCAGGGAGATATGAGGTAGGAAGTCCAAAGCAGAGCGGCTGAAGCAGGCAGCAATCCCTGCCTTGAACAGAAACTGTCCATAAACGTCTTTACTTGGAGTCATGCACAGAGTCCCTCTCTAGCTATACCACTTGAAATTCGCTCCCTCCCAAGCCTGCAACCTATCCAATTCATCTCTGCTTAAGAGTCACTCATCCAAACTTGGACCATGTTCTCACACTCCTTCACCCAACCTGATATTTATTCTTACCTCACTCTACATAAAACAGCCTATAATTTCACCCTTGTGCTTCCAGTTAACAATACTCCCCCTACACCTCACCATTAACCGCCTTCCCTGGCTGTACCCACCTCCTTGCCAAGTTCTCCTCAAAAAAACCCAAACCCTCCACTTTTCTTTCCAGCAGGAGTACAGAAAATCTGGTGTGCTGGTTTTGGCTGGGATAGAGTTAATTTGCTTCATAGTAGCTAGTATGGGGCTATGTTTTGGATTTGTGTTGGAAACAGTGTTGATAACACAGGGATGTTTTCGTTACTGCTGAGCAGTGCTTACACAGAGTCAAGGCCTTTTCTGCTCCTCACCCCACCCCACCAGCGAGGAGGCTGAGGGTGCACACGAAGC